GGGTTTTCCGAAATATAGACCTGATCTAGTAATACGGCGCCATGCCCCTCTTTTTGCCACAGCGGCTTTCCATCTGGCACCGAACTGGCTGTCAGCTGATTTGTACGGTAAATCTTTGGAAGTGGATCGGATCCGTTTTCGTGTGTGCGCGCGGGGGGAAAGGGTCTGCATTCATGTTCAGTTGAAGTGTTGAGCTGATGGGTGGCACCGGAGAGACAGCACAGTGAGCTGGCGCAAGTAACAACCTAGAGCCCTACCAAATGGCTCGAAGTCGTTGATGCACAGGCTGGAACCGCTAAGATCGCACTCAAGGCTTTAGCGGATCTAACCAACGAGGCCATACTTAGGCTACATCAGTTGGTCCAACTGCAGACCATCATCCATTGGTCAGCGCGCTTCCGGTAGTGGTTGGCCACGCGGCCGCATCGGTCCGTATGTAGCAGCAGCAGCAGCAGCGGCGAGAGCTAGCGATGGCTGCTGCGCCCGCCGATGCCGCCGCCGCCGCAGTTGCTGGTACAGAAGAGAAAAGAGTTTTGAAAAAATGACTCCCCAGAGTGCACTAGGATCTATCTTTGGATGGCCATCTCCAAGAGCCCATACGAAAAGCCAGCCTCGAGCTAAGCAGTTGGAATGTGAGCAAAAGAGAAGGAGATGTGGAGCGCTAGTAACGAAGATGGTGCGTGTCTGTGCAACGGATTCCACTCGAAGTGTGACTAGACGCGTCCGCATTGTTGGCTATTGAAGAAAGAGGTTGTTAAAAACGCAAATATCACCACCGTCTGCTACATTGTCGTTTTCACCGTATCAGCTACCAATATCTGTCTGACGCCGAACAGCGCACCTACTACGGCTCTAATGTAACTGTTTATTTTTCCCCGTTATGCATGCCTCATCAGGTAACCTGGTCAAACAGTGTGCAGCGTCCAATAATGTACAGTGCTACGATGCCGGAAGTTACGAGCAGTAAAGGCCTAGAGGAAGCGTCGTCTCAGCTAAAATTGGATGTTGTCTGTGTTAAATGCGTTGTGTACCATTACGTTTACAAAGTGAGTCGATGTGCCACGCTCCGGGCGAGCTTTAATAGGCTGCTACTGGTAGTAGTCGGAGTCTCGGAGTGGCAGGCGACTAGCTCTGCTGTATCCTGCAGTTCCAACGACGACGTAATTGGAGGCAAAGCCAAGCAACATACTACAGCCTATGGGAACGGCAGCGGCTTACGGCAGAGACTACTGAAGGAAGGCTTCCTTTCTTCCAGGGCTTTCGTAGCAGTCCCATCTTCGTGTGCCTCTCACTCCCTATTTCTCTCAGTTACTCTCACCAATGCCGATGCTGCTGCTATCGCCGCGGTGGATCCCAAGGTCCCCTGGCTTTTCTAATGTAAGGCCGACCTGACGCTGTCCGTTCGTTCGTCCTCAGTCGGTCCTTTCGCTGAAGCTCCGTGCTCTTATCCCCTAGGGGCCCGCTGTCCGCCCTGTGCCGACCGAACGGCAGCAGTGGCCGCTGCTACCGCCGGAGTCCCCGATGCCATCTCAACTCTCACATCCACCTATGAGGGAGCAAGAGAAAGACCTAGATCTGCTGCCATATCCCCCCATCGCTGCCACTTTCATTCCACATTCAGCCGGCCATCCAGCTAGTCCTTGGGCTTGCTGGTCGACTGGCTGGCCAGCACGAACTAGCATGCCGGTTGGGAAAGAGCGACGGGGAGCTCTGTGCTACTTCTGCCAGAGGGACCAGTGAGGGAAGGATGGCGGCACGGGACGAACTGGGGCCAGCAGGGATCACACAAGCGAACGACGAATAGCAGGAGGCAACCGGTAGGGAACCCCTGGATACGAAGAAACTCACTTGGGAAGCAGACAGCAGTTCCTCTTAGGGAAACTACTGCTGCTGCTCTTGAGCCAAGTCAAGCCGACTTGATTCGGTGTGCCCGAAGTCCCTGCCTTCCCGCTTGCCCCTACCATCTAGATCGTAGCAGCCTTTGCGTAGCTGTGCTGCTGCACCCCCACGCTAACTATGCATTTCGAAATGCGAGAACCATCGTCCATCGTGTGAGGGCCATATTTGATGCATTTCATGTGTGAATATCCATCCGCCGCAGCAATGGTCACCGCATACACCAGTGGGCAATGGGCGCTCTGGGCAGTTCACCCGGGCTCCTCGAAAGCCCTCGAGGGACTCGTAGCCGACGGAGTCGGTAGCAGCGGACAGCCGCTAACGGGTAGTGGGGATGCAGCTGCCGCTCCACTGCCTGTGGCGTGTTAGCTATAACGGCCTATGGTTATATCAACTAGAAAGGAACTATTCGCCGGATGTTCGACTACCCCTTCTCATATATATATATATATATATATAGCATATATATATATACATATATATATATTATTTTAACGCGGAAAGGAATACGAGCCTGAGCAGTGTGGTGTAGCAGGTGAGCACGGAAGCGCTTCAAGCAGCGGCGCCATCCATGTCTATCACATGTATCATCACTGTGAGTGTATATATGTCCTCTTCTTCGTTGCCGTCGTCGATCGTGAGGTGTGCCAGCTCGTATGAGGATGATGATATGTGGCAGTGTTTACGGGATGGACGAATCGGGTGGATGGACGATCGGTTCCGCATCTACGGTAGTGGCGGAGACTCGTGGACGGTTAGGCCTGTCCGCGTCTGGAGAGTATGGGGTGAATGGAAAACCAGTGGAAGGCAGTCAACAGCCAACAGACTGCTCTTGGGACTTTAGTTTCGATATCAAAGTTTTTACTCATTGCACCACTGAACCCCAAGCAAGAAGCAGTCGTGGCCTTAAAGCATAGGTCAATCCTGAGCGTAACTGTGGCATGGACCATGAAAGCTCACGAGTGTAATGCAGTCGAATATGCTCGAGTAAGTGAGCGAGGCTGGTTGTTCAGCCAACGTCCGAGGCATCCCGTACGGTAAAGTGAGGATGCACGCGTCGAAAAGCACGCCCACCGATGCAAAGCGTGCGTCTCCTCGCACCTTCCCATCCCGTTCAATCGGTTCGTTTTCCGTCCGCTCTTCATCTGCTGCTGCTACTGCCGCTGCTTCGCCGCAGGCGCTGCCCTTCCCCTGAGCTGCCATTTCGAGGGTCTGAGGGCACTAAGGCTGCTCAAAGATGATTAAGTTCCGCAGCCCCTTAGAGGGCTTCGCTGGTCCGTCCACTAGGCCGGCCAACTGGCCGTTCCCCATGGTAGAAGATCTTTAGAGCTCTGGAGGTCGTGGCAAAGTGAGAAGCAAAGGCCGACGTCCAACGGCTAGACCTTGTCCGCCTACCTAGCGTTTGTTCGTCCGCTTGTCCGTTCAAAGTGATTTCCCTGAAGTTTTCCCCCCTGAGCTGGCCGGTCCGTCAGACGGCCCGACCTCAGTTACCCGGTCGGAGCCAGCGAAGTCGCTGGACGGGGAAGCCAGTTTCAGGAGAGCATCCTTCCACCTGTCAGAGACTCAAGGGACCACCTCTGCCTCACGCGTTTAGTCTTAGTAGCACCAGTCAGCTGGAGCAGTCTGGCTATCCAGGTATCTGACTGGCCGACTGGCTGGATAGCTATGGACAGAGTAGTCAACTGGCCATGCCAGTCAGGTGAGTGGCTAAGGCTGCTGACGGGACGATGAAGGGGATGTTGGGTAGGCGGGATCAGGACAAGACCACTGCCACCACCTCAATTTTTAGCTTAACCAATAAACGTTAGCAAATTTCCAAGAGGAAATGGCCGTGAAAGTCCCTTGTCGTTTGGCTCTCGTTTCATCGTACGTTTCACTGCTGCTGCCATTGCCGCAGCTATAAACCAAAAGCTGGGTGAGGACGTTGGCAGCGAAATGGATGGAGAGAGAAAAAGCAGACATCGACAACGATGACGACGACGCCGACAGCGAGTAAGAGAGTGGGCGACTTCGGCCGCACGCCAATATCCGTGGTGGCGAGCCAAGCACTAGGCAACGGGAGACGCCCTAGGTCGCCAGCCACTCGCTGCTGAGACTCGTACCACAGCAGTCTCCACTGTACAGCAGCAGCGAAGTTAGCAAAATGTTACATATTAAATCATTTCCCTAGAGACTGACTGCCCCGCTAGACCCAGTCAACGTCCCCGAAGGGAGGGTGACTGGGAGACGGAGACTGGACGGGAAATGGGAACCTATTCTCTTTTTCTCTTTCTTTCTCTCGCATTCTCTCACGCTGTCCAGCATAGAAGAGAGTGAAAAAACGCAACGAGAGACGGGGTACGGGACGAGAGGCTGAAGGGAGGCTGGTCCAAGGGAACGAATCCCTAGAGCCCTGCAGGGCGGAACAGGCACATCCGAGTGGCCTCGGTAGCAGCGGCAGTGCTAGCTTAGCATGCGTCCGTCCACAACCAGGCGCAACTCAGCTAGATTCCCTACAGGAACGATAGTCAGATGCCGCGGCTGCTACCGTTACTGCAGCTGCTGGCGATGGTCGTGCCCCGTGCATTAGTTCGAATGCGGCCGATTGAGCTGGGCTGTTCAATCCACCGCGACCCATAAGGCGTCGATGGAAGAGACATGCCTCTCGACTATGAGAAGCCGCATCGTTCGGCTTGTCACAACGGCAAGGATGGGCGAATGCAAGAAAATCGCAGAGATGCTGTCAAGACATAAGTGCAAGAAATATTTTTGGATATAACGGTCATTGGTAGAAGTGAGCATCATCAAATACTAACCATACCGTAAATGCGTAAAACATATGTGCCGCTATTAAATTGAACAGTAATGTGCTTCAGCGACATCAATAAGGAATAATATTCGTCAGATATATGGTTTGTATTTGTTTAAGCCATATTAATCCTCTAACGAGAACACCAGTGTCTGTCCACTAATCTGTTGGAGGGCAGCTTGGGCGATACACGTACAGCATGGCTAGAACACTAGAACGTGTTACACTCAAAAGCCACAGGCTTCACTGTTAAACTTGAGGCGCAGTTTTTTTTAACAATTTTAAAATAAACCAAGTTTGTTTTTTACGTACTAACCGTTTCTGCACTCGGTGTTCTGATGTTCGATGAAGTCATCCAGGTTGTCACAGAGCAGGCCGCACGAATCGCATTTGACGGAGGGCGCCGACGTGAGGCAACCTGCACCCCCAATCGAGGACAAGGGGCCAATAGGTGCCTCGATGGTACCGGAGGGGCCGCGAAGACAAACCGAGGCGCCGCGAAGGGACGCATTTGAGTCTGCAATATAAAATCGCGTTAGTGGGCCTTGCGCATTGGGGTACGGTCTATAACAATCTACTATAGCATTAATTATATTACTGTCGTTTGAAACCATGAATAAGGTACAGCTCAACGAATTGGGTTTTTGTGGAGCCTTGTTACAGAGGAAAAATCTACTTGTGGGTGCATTTGTGTAGAATCGTTGTACAAAGAAGACGATTAACCAAAGCATCTATGTCTAACATTAGGTAGTGGATTCTACGCTGACAGGCAAATCTACATAGACTATTTTCAATACGATGCAGTCAGTGTAGATCTCTCTATACGTCAGTTAAAAGCGAAGAAGTATACCAGCTATTAATCGGCCGGTGGAACTACGCCTAATACGATCTAGCCTCTGAGTAATACGTTTTTGTACGTACAAGTAAACGTATGTATTTAAATAATTGTCGGAAATCACATCTTTTTATTTAGTTCTATTACTAAAAAGCGAGGAAACTAGAAAGTTTTGCTACGGCAAAAATAGGCCGTGAGTAAGATGTTAAATAGCAGGAAACACACACTTTGTAGAATAAAAATAGATTAATGGACATATGACTCTAAAGGTAGGCAGGCACAGCCTGGGAAGAGATTGTTGATTTTTCGAGAGGGTATCGTTAAGCCATCTATATATTTGAAACAAATGAACATTTCTACTAAGTGCAATCGTCGACCTTAGCAGACACGAATACTGGACGGGCGTAGTCGTAACCCAGAAAAAAAAAAAGATGTTTTCTAAACCTCTTCATCCACGCATGACTATCCTATGAAAGATATTAATAATACTAATAATAGAGATCTAAAGGTATTTTATTTCAATTAAACACATTTTTATTTTGAACGCGGCCGTCCGTGCCGGGATGTATGCTCGTTTCGCCTGTCGATAATTTCGTAGATTCCGTTACGCAAATATTTCATGTATTATCGTGCACTATGATGAAGTTTCCATATTTTATTAAATAATACTCCCTATCAAAGTAATTGGAGACATTAGTTCAAACTAAACATTGTTTAATACGTAAGTTCCACTTGACAACAATGGCAAAATAAAATGTAAGATTGAGCATCTCATATGGATGAGCACAAACGGTAACTTAAGTTGTTCACGTGTCGACCACCGTAACGAAAATAGCTGGCAGTATGATTTGGGATCATAAAAAGAAATGTGAGCGCTTTTGTGAGCTGCTGATGGAGTCGGTATCTTATCCCATACCAATATCCAGGAGACCGTGCACCTTCACTGGACTCTTCCAATGATGCCACCGCTTGAAACCATCGTACGGTTGTATTTTGATGCTGTGAGTTTTCGAGCAGTATTGCCTCTGAAGGCACGACGGATATCTCGTACCCAGTGAGTTCCCAAAGGACCTCCGCAAACGAGAGAGGCTGGGCCAGTGACGAACAAGACATCATAGAAGCTCTGCAGCATCAGCAACCGCTGCTACTTCTATGGCAAGACTTACTGCCAGACCCCACTCACCTGCTGTCATTTTCGCTGCAGGACTATCCATGAAGCAACTCCAATAATGCCAGCTCCAGCGATAGAACAGTGTCTAAGTGTATCTAGTGTACTCTAGCAAGCTACTTGAGGACGTTTTAGCCGTTTAACTGTGAAACCTGAACAATACAGACTCATAGAAGTTGGAGAAAATGCGCCGCAATGCACGCCGAGGAGTCTTCTGTAGATCAGAAGTTGAGTTCGTTTGACAAACTTAATTTTAAGACGTTGATTACTAATGTAAAAAAAAAAAGTATGTTTTCTTGAGACAGTTTGTAAATATATACTTCGTGGACAACTTTGTAAGTACAAAGCCGCATCGACCATTGTGTGGTTTACGGAACTGGATAAATTTGTATTTCATTAAGCTTTACAAGCGTATTAATTCAGGGCTGAGCGCGAGATGTTAATGAAAAATGCAACAAGTTAATTAGTTTAAGACGAACAAAATTATATGTATTTTTTTTTTGACAGAAAGCAAACGGTTTTTTCTTTTGTATTGGACTCTCTATGCTAGGTTAAAGATATCTTTAATTTTCGTTGACATACACATTGCTGGTAATTTGACATACTTAATGCCCCGTGCAAGAAATTTACGAATGCTGGGAGAAGTAAAACGTAGCGAGGTTTCAGTACCAGGAACTTATTGATGTCGTACTAACCAGCGTCGAATCGTATATATCTGAACTTTTCAAGTTACCTTAAATTTTTTATTTCACCGAACTGCCACATAATTTATGTGGATTTGTTTCTTCAAGAGGGTTTTTACACACCATTGGGGTCAGCGAAGCAATGTCTATCCAGAGCGAGTCGACCAGTGTGGGGCTCAGACTGGACTGCTGGATTTTACTCCGCTGAGACCACTGTGCGCTAGTTATAAACAACTTTCTTGTACGATAAACACCCTTCGAACTGTGAAATTATAGATATGCTTATTTCTGTAAAAGCTGCTCTTACATTTTTTTCACATCAAACAAATTAACATGAGCCATCTACTTAAAGCAAACGAGAAAATACCTATAAATGGTCTTACGGATGGCAGACTCAGAGTGAATTTTGAGAATCCCGTCGTAACTCTTGAGAATAACTTTACTTAAACAACTTAGACAACATAACACAAAAATAGAAAAACGGTTGCGCATTGTGCCAGTGCTCCGACTCATCGTTCGGGCAGTGCTGACGGACGTCACGACAGAAATGCGTCGACGTCAGCAGCTGAATATCATTGAGGTTAAAAGAAGCGGTCCGGGAGCAAGCGGAGCAACTCCACTAGCTGATGAAATGCTCGGTCTAAATTTTGACAAGAACTATGGGAACAACGTGAGCATTTTCGTTTTTGTTTTCTGCGGCAATAAGCAGCAAATAGCAATGTATTTTTAGACAAAGGTCTCCATAGAGGTCGAATATGTGCAGCACACGAAGACGTCTTATGGAAAATTGTGGCGCTGTTGGGGCCGCTTCAGCCGCTCGATGGTTTGTCGGCCGTCAGGCGGCCTGCGCGCCCCGAAAGCGTCGCAGCACCACGCCGCCGCCGCCGCCGCCGCCATCGATTCTTAGTCATGCACAAATGGGGAACGGATGCTTTTAAGTACGTTAACGCTTTCACCATAGCCCCTTTAGCAGCTTGTTGCTTAGTGCAAATATTCGATGCATCCATAATATATCTGTATGTATCCCAGCTCGTCGCGTTCGTAAGCTGCAAAACGTCAATGTTCGTGTTTCTGATCTTGCGGTATCCTAGGACTAGTCTAGATAGGTTTGCGTCTTTAAATAGCAACTGGTCATTAGAGAAAGGTCGAAAGTCTGTATGTGGGAAAACAATCTCCCCCGAATAGAACATAGTTGAAGTATGGCTTTTAAATATTTGGCGCAAGAAACAAATATGATAAGCCTCGATCTTGTTTTCTTAACCTTTATCGAAGAACTAGATAACTTAATAAATATTCGTCCAGTAAATTCGTTAAAAATCTCTCGACCTAATGAAAACAATTTAATCGTTATCTGAGTGTAAAAAGACCACAGCATCGAAAAGCTAATCAAAGGCTGCGCAGGTAAGGACCAATGTAACCAATGGAAGGCGCGGTGTGATGCCGTGCCTCGAAAAGGTCTAATATGTTTAGATTGAAGCGTGCCTCCTTCATCCCGCAGCGTTCCTCCTCAGTCTACGTGTACTATCATCCGCTCGTCCGTCGATCAATGTGCGCTCAGGCACAGATGCGATAGGCTTGTTACAGGCGTGTGCGTTGCGGCGTGCCAAGGTTAGACGTAATTTAGAAGATAGCACTCTCGGTATCGACTGCATAACAATGACAAGCGATTAGCTGCCACGATAATGGCAGCAGAAGTGAGCCGGGAAGCAGGGAATGTACGGAATGCTTCTGCTGCTAGAGCAGCAGGAATTGTCGAAAAAAAAGTCTGTTTGGTCAGACCGTGTTGCCTCACCACGGTTAGCTCATATGGCAAGCTGCCTTTTCACCAAGCTTCAGATCGGTTAGTTACCATCTACTAGCGAAGCAAGCGGCTACCGACGAACAAACTCGTCTCTACGCTTAGTAGTGGCCATCACGATTGATCACTCCAGCTACACCGGCGCTATGGTGACAGAAATATGCTTCCCACTGCTGGGACGCTCACAATGCTGATTTGTCCCTCAGTGCAATAAGCTATGGAGCGAGCGAACGAGCAATCGGTCGGTCGGGTTGAATGATTCTAGAGAACAGTACCGATATACAGAAGCAGTGCGGCTGGTGCCGATAATTGTTGGAAGTCCAGGACATAGCAATACTACAAGATGCTCGGCCACGCTGATGTGTGCGGTAAACGTGATCACAGCTTCACGCGTATTGTCAGCACAAGCTAGGTATCGGCGAAAGGACGCCCGGCAGGTCGGCAATCTGCCAACTCCAAAGCAAAACGAGAAACAGACATGGAAGTACGGTAGGGTATAGTCAAGACGGTTCAGGCTATATCAATTGTTAACTATATATATATATATATATATAATAAAAAAAGTAATGATTTGTCGCAAATTAACAGGATCAGAATACTTTAAAGCTGTTGATTTTTAGAGACCTGAAGACATGTCCGGTGTCACAAGGTCCCCGCGAATATACATTAGTTATCATGCAACTGTAGAGCCAATTCGAGTGAGCCATTCGAGTAGGCACAAGGTTGCCTCTCTGTCTTCACTATCACACAAAAGCACGACGCCTGGAACCCTATAAAACTTCATATATTCCTCTTCAACTTTTTGTATTTTTTTCGTACCGATTTATCGTCTCATTTGCCGTTCGGAAAGATGAGATAGTTTAGCTTTGTGGACAAAACTGAAAGTTCGCTCAATCTATAAAACTTCGTTATGGTACTACCGATCCAACATACAATTAACATTTCGGTGAATTGGCATGTAGCGCGTGTTCATTAGATTATAACCTTCTTTCGATTGGTATAGCGAACAGGTTATGCAGTGTCCTAGTTCAGG